GGGTATTGACAAAATTTCTTTTTTCCCAACTATAGAACAAAGAAACCAATGTCCCCTCCTCTGATACAAACCTGAGAAAAAGAAAAAAAAATGATTTTGATATTAAGTACACAAATAAATTTCTAACCTCTACAATTACGTTTTCTAATGCTTTTTATATAGAATTTAAGGTATATCTTCTGGTTTTATAAGTTGTTCAATCAAACTTATCTTCCATCGTCTAGGACCTTCAGTAAGGAGTTCACTAAAAAAAATCTTACACTTTTGGGTTAGTTTTAGTAGTTAGAGATTTATAAACAAGGTTAATTCGTTTAATTTAATTTTATTGGTCAACCTTACTTTTCGACAATGTTTTTTCGACCAGAAATTTAATTGGTTCATAGTTGTGTTTAAATTTAGCTTATGCTTTTAAAAAACTATATATAATAAATAAATGAAAACTTTTTACCAGAAAATAAACTATTGATACTACATTTTCATGCTTTTAGATACATATTACTCCCAAAAAAAAAAATCCTAGTTTCAAAAATGAATTGTATCATAGTTTTTATGTTAGTTATCTCTATGTTCTTTGGTTTGAATGAAGGTTTTGGATTTTGGAAATGTAAGAAAAACATTTTAGAGTTTCGAAACGAGCTCGAACCTGGCAATATCCTCAAAGTTAATTGCACATCCAAAGACGATGTTATAGGCGTTCACGATGTAGCCTTCAACAATTCGTACGCATTTAGATTCGGCGAGCATAGAACCAAAAGAACAATATGGCGTTGCCTCTTGAGACAAGGCCGTAAAGTAGAGTATTTTCATGACTTATGGAGAGCATACAGAGGAGTCAATACGCGACGGTGTGATGAGAGACGTTTATGGATTGCAAAACTTGATGGAATTTATTTGGAAAAAAATAGTGAACCACGAATACGCCAACATGATTGGTTTAAATATAATGCGTCTACTCCTAAAACTAACTAGTTTTATGAAGTTGAGTTTTTTTTGTCTTATCATCATCCTACTTTGATGTTAATATACACAACAAAGAATGTAATAAACAAAATAAAAGTTCGTTTTTTTGTTGTTGTCAGCATAACTAAATTGTTTTTATTGGAATTCTTTCAACATTCTTCATCTATTTTTTTTTTTGGTCAAAACATTCTTCATCTATATTATCCATTGGGAAATTAGCAAAACTAACTCACACAAATTTATTAATTCATTAAGTAACCATTAAATTAGGATGGCTATGATATTTCATGTATAATGCCTAAAATCTCCTCATCCCCTTTACTCCTCTCCTCCTTCCGATCTCCTCTGCTCCTTCAGATGTCCACTCGATGTTTGATTTTTCTCTTTCTTTTTGATTCTTCGCAGAGACAAAAGCAACTCCGGTGAGAAAACAATACCCAACCATCGCATATCCACTTGCTCAGAATGTACTGTTTCGGGTTTCGGAAAAGAAGAATATATATAATCGGAGATTTCACCGGTGAAAGTAGAGGGAAAAAATCCGAATTTCAGTGTAGATGCGTTGCTTGGAGGTGAATGTGCAACGCCGACAGCTAGATCTAACGACGAAGCCGGTGAAGATTTAGTCAAAATCTTATCGCATATGGATCCACCGTCGTCCGCCGATGTAGAGATAAAGATAAATATGTGTAGGACCAAGGGCAATATTGCAAGTCCACTATTAAAATTGTTACTTTCCTAATTATACTATCATCGTGGCTATATTCTTTATTAATGTTCTCAATATAGTTATTAGCCAAATTGTCCCTTATCCATTTTATGTTTTAAAAAGAAACTACAACAATAAAAATGTCGAAAGACAAGACAGATTAAGAGATAAAGAAGAGACCAAGTTGCAAAGTCACTTAATGTTAAACACATCCAAGGATAACAATACCATACTCTTTATATGCATGTATCTTGTTACATTGGAA